CTGGTGCCTTTTGATGTCGGTGTCAGTAGAGATTAAGGATCATGGATCGTGGCATTTGACTGCCGGTCAGTGTTCATGGATCCTGGTTTTTAATTGATGTGATGTACACATCAATTAAAATAACATAAGTACAACATTTAAAGACTGTTCACCTAGAAGGTATCACCAAAACGCACCACATATGGGTCCAGTGAAACCCGATCAAACAATGATCAACTTCCAGTATTTTCAACAAATACTTGTAGATTTCATCTTTGAACCACCATAATAAAAAGTCAGTTTGAAAGTCCATCAAAGCATTTATTCCCTTTTTCAGGCAGTTGACCGAGATCTATGCAAACTGACCCGTTTGTCAACCTCAGTGCTTCCAGGTTTATGAATTTCCAACGGGCTGTTTCTGTAAAAACCTATTTTGCCCAGTTCCTCTTGAGGCGGTTTCATTCACAAATACCACTGCCCAAGTGAAACATCCAATTGTTGTGGCCCTGGCCCATATTTATTAATCATGACTTAGCACAAACTCATTCAATTTAACAGCTTGGAAACAAATTGTGGCAGCCCGCCCGACCCAAGCCCTCCATCCCCATGAACCGGAAGAGCAAATGAGATTTAAGAAAAAAGTAAAAGAATAAATAAAATTGTCTTATAACCTTAGACAGAAACAATCACAACTCCACCTTTTAATTTAAAATGTTTCCCCTGCGGCTTTGCTGTTTTTCTGCTTTTTCTTTTCAAAGTGAGACAGGAGAAAATAAATCTTCCCCCAACAGGTCAAGCTCTGTTCAAAGGCCTTGGTTGACTTGCCACTTACAGTGTATTTGTCAACCAAGGGAGAAAATCCTGGTTGTGGGAAAACAGGTTTCAAGGTGGATGAATGATCTTCCCTTCCTCTCCATATTTGCTCGCGTTTTCTGGGGCTCTTAGCATTCACTTTGAGTTATCTCACAGCTGTTAAAAATTGTCAACATACAACATCAGCCTCGGTCAAAACAGCATAGATCATTCTCCTTGGATGGGTTTTTGGAAGAAAAACAGAATTCTGCTGTGGGATTTTTTATTTTTTTGGAACAGGTTATATACTACTATGAAACGATTCAGCTCTTAGTTTGCTATTTTTGTTGGCTTCATCTTTTTAAGTCTCCTACAACGTTTTGCATGTTTCTATTTAATTTTTTTGAGGAAAAAAAGAAAAATCTTTCTTCTTTTGGCCCAAAGCTGCTTTTTTTCAAGAGGCAACTGGATTGTCTTCGTTTTTCTTTGAAGACGTTTCGTTTCTCCTCCAAGAAGCTTCTTCAGTTCTTCTACAAAAGCTTCTTGGAGAAGAAGCAAAATGTCTTCAAGGAGAAACAAAGAAAAATCAAGCTGCCTCTTGAAAAAGCACCTTTGGGACAGCCGTGACCTGGATGGCTGAGAATCTCCCTAGAAATTTACAGTATTCCTTTTTTTTTTGCTTTTCGTTAAAGGAACAACCAATAAAATTGGTCTAAAAAGCCCTGACTGGTTAAAGAAAAATTAAAAGTTCCTCCAACCGCAATATAAAGTTGATTTTCAGATCTTCCTATTAATCAAAGACTGTAGCAAAACCCAGGGATGCGCCAGCTGTATATTATTATTGGGCTGTTGGCTTGGCAAACCGACCCCCGTTTTCATTTCTATCTAAATTGTGTTTTATCCAAAGGCAATAATAAAATAAGAGACAAGAGATAATTATTAATATCGATGATTCTGAAGGCCACACGTCAATCTAGGGTTCTCCGTGTTCACATGCAGGAAACAATTTGAACGTTGACAATCAAGATCTTAAAAGAACTGGCTACGGGGAGGCAGTTGCAGATCAGAAAATCAGGGGGGGGGGTTTGCACCAAAAACATGCATATCCTTCTTTCTTCTGATACGGAGCGGTTTTGCACTCGCCCCAAGCAGAAACAGGCAAAAATAAATATTTCTCAACGCACCCACACATCGATCAAGATGAAGTGTCAAGAAGGAAGGGAAAATGAGCAGACCAAAGAGAAGATGGGAGGTTAAAAGATTGTGCAGGCAGACACATACCGCTTCCCATTAAACCGTCATAAACGTTAATTAAATGTGGCAATCAGCAGCAAGAAAGGAGTCCGTTCTGTATGTTTTCATTAGTGTTTGTGTCTTGGCGCCTTAATGTTCAAGGAACGCCATCTATTCTGAAAGTCCACATTTGGAAAAGACATTCTGGGCGCCAGACCCTACTCTCCTGTAAATCTGACAAATAAAAGCAAGCGGAAACAAAGCCACCTCCTTTGATTCTGAATACTCTTTTTTTTTTTTCCTGTTACCACTTTGTCTTAAAGTCTTATTTTTTTCCTGTGTTTTAGCCGTCAATGGGAACAAAAATGGAGTGCTGAGGGCCTCCAGTGGTTTATCATCAAACAGCAGCTGGTTAAAGACAGACTCAACCTCTGTCAGATGGGGGAGGAGGAGGGTCTTCTGCTTGAGCAGGGGGTTGGACTAGAAGGCCTCCAAGGTCCTTTCCAACTTTGTTAGGAGGAGGAGGAGGAGGAGAAGAAGAAGAGGAAGAAGAAGAAGAGGAAGAAGAAGAAGAAGAAGAAGAAGAAGAAGAAGAAGAAGAAGAAGAAGAAGAAGAAGAAGAAGAAGAAGAAGAAGAAGAAGAGGAGGAGGAGGAGGAGGAGGAGGAGGAGGAGGAGGAGGAGGAGGAGGAAGAGGAGAAGAAGGAGGGGGAGGAGGAGGGGGAGAGTCTCCTGCTTGAGCAAGGGTTGGACTAGAAGACCTCCAATGTGCTTTCCAATTCTGCTAGGAGGAGGAGGAGGAGGACAAGGAGAGAAGGGTCTCTTGCTTGAGTAAGGAGTTGGATTAGAAGACCTCCAAGATCCCTTCAAACTCTGTTATTGGGGGGGGGAGAGTCTCCCTCTTGAGCAAAGGGTTGGACTAGAAGACCTCCAAGGTCCCTTCCAAACTCTGGTAGGAGGAGGAGGAGGAGGAGGAGGAGGAGGAGGAGGAGGAGGAGGAGGAGGAGGAGGAGGAGGAGGAGGAGGAGGAGAATTGAGATGGATATAGTGCCATTTCAGTTCAACTCCAAGAGCAGAAGGTAAATGTCAATGCAGGGAAATTAAAGTCACACAAGGGAACAGCAGCATTACAGGAACAATTACATTGATTTAATATTCTGTGTGGGATGCTGGTTAAGTGCGCCAATTTAAAGAACAGCTCAGGGTTACCCAACAGTCCAATTTCTGTTTTTTTTTTAAATATAGCAATGTGTCTTAAACATATTATTATTATTATTATTATTATTATTATTGTTGTTGTTGTTGTTGTTGTTGTTGTTGTTGTTGTTGTTAGGGTTCAAGTGGTGCTCCAGTTGTTTTGGGATTGCACCCAAGGTGCCTACTACTACTACTACTACTACTACTACTACTACTACTACTACTACTACTACCATTATTATCATCATCACCATCATCTTTACCAGCTATTCTAAACCAAGGAGGCAAATGTGATCACTTCCTGGAAGAGGTAGTGGGATGGAGGGGGTCAAGTAGGACATCTCTAACAACCAGCCCCTTATGAAAACACCAAGTCACATAAAATGAATTTCAGGGCTGTGTAAAGAGTTGAGGAACTCCTGGATGAAACCAAAGTTATCTTGACCACATCTAAAGTTCTTCTTGAATCTCATGACCTCAGTTGGCTTGACAGCCCAATGCTGAATGGCCTGCAAAGTTTATACCCAGGTTTTAAATTATACATCGGTGCCCTAATCCACGTGCATTGACAGACAGAAAAGTTCAACGTAAAATTGATTCGCTGCTCCTGTACACTTGAGCTGTATCACCCTTTAGGATAAAATTTGGTTGTGTGTTCACATTGGCCCGGATCAAAAAATCACAGGTACGTTTCATCCAATTTCTCCGATAAATTTGGTATTTCCTTTCATTATATACCTCCCGAAAAACAGATTTTCTACGTGAAACCCAAGAAATCCTTTCACTTTGCTCTGTGACTCTCATAATACGTCCTTTGACCATTAGACCTGTTTAGTTTAGTGGTTCAAGTAACCAGGCTAGAAATGGCGAGTTGCGACTGTTTTTCAAACTTATGACCACTGGCAGCATCCCCCATGGGGTCACGTGGTCAAAATTTAGAGGCTTGCCACCTTGCGTTTGTTTATGATGGTTGCCGTGTCCTATGTAATCCCCTTTTACCACCTTCCAAAAAACAAAGTCAACTGGGAAGCCAGACTGACTTTTACAACTGTGTTACTAACCTAACAGTGGCAGTGGTTCGTTTAACAACTGTGGTGAGAAAGGTCGTAAAAATAGGGCAAAGCCCACTTAAATTTTGGGTTCATAAGTTGTGATCGTAAGTCGAGGGTTATCTGTATTCTTAGAACAACTTTTGTCGCATCGCTTAGAACAGGGGTGTCAAACTGCCAGCCCATGGGCCGGTTTCATCATACCGGAGCCATGCCCACCCCATTGCTGGCAATGGCGAAAAAGCTCCGATACGTCGCGCGACGTCATGTGACGTCGCGAGTGTGACATGCCTGGCTTAGAATAATCATCCCAGGGGTTTCCCAGCCAGAGAAAATTATTCGTTTATACTGTAATCCTTGCCTCTATCATCTCTATCATTTTAGTCCCTCGTCCAACCATTAAAGCAGCTGGTAAACAAACAAACAAACAAACAAGACGATTTCCTAACCGTCAATCGATTCGGTCGAGATGCCGTAACATTCTGATTTTCAGTGATGAAAATACAGTTGATCGGAAGGGGACAAACAGGAGAAAAGAGAGGGACGAAACCAAAAGGAAACGAAGAAATATTGCTGTGGGGTTTTTTTCAAGGTTGCCCCAGATTACATGGGCATAAAACATAACGGGGATAGGAGACGCCACTGCTTCATGCAACATAAAAGAAAAAGGAGAAAACAAATGAATGTTCTCCACTGGAAGAAAGACAGATCAGACTGCACTCTGGGCTACAAGGAACCCATTGTTACTCACAATAGATCACTATCAGTGTGTAGTTAAAATATAGTATGGGCCGTGTTCCAAGGCAGCAAGAGAAAAAAAAATAAATCACAATATCGTCAATAATCATCTGTTCAGGCAAATCTTCTTCATAAATATCAGTGTACACACGGACTATTATCTTATAGCGGCAATCTTGCAAAGGATCCCAGCTGGAAACAAAATGATTTAATACAAGGACAAAAGGAATGAGTAAGCACAGCGTTTCGGCTGGAACTTTCATCTCCGATGGCTGTGTCCAGAATTTTAGAACTGTAATTCAGCTACATAAACTCGGATCAATTAACGATGAATCTTGCCGTGCTCAATCAATGGGGATCAGCGCACAAATACAACAATGGTTTTGTTAAAAACTTTCTTTAAAGAGTTTCATAGATTTGGGGGGGGGATCGTGCATGCTTATTTTGGGGGGGGGCAGGTATCTCCCTCCTGTCAGAAACACCCTTTCTAACATGGAACTTGTTGCTTTACTAAAAAAAAAATGACGTTATTGAGCGGCACACTAAGGCTGAAACCACACAATTTCCAGTGGATTAATTGAGTAACTCAACTGACTAAAATGTTAACAAAAGTACATTTGGTTAATTGCAATGTGTACGCAGAGCTAAATCTTTTTTTTTCTCTCTTTCATTCCAATTTAAATTAAAATTAGAAAATTAGGAATCAAAATAAGATCCAAAACCAGACACATCACACATCACAGCCTTCTACAATATGGATCTTTGCGCAAGAAATTCATTTCCAACCCACACAGATTCTCTAATTACCCTGGGTTTTGTGAAGCTTCAGAGCTGTTTGCTGAATTATTAATATTTGGCTTAACAGGTTTGGACAAATAGCTATGTAGGTCAGACTTACTTGGAGACCCTGACAATACCGAAGCTAATATTCAGAAACATCTGAAGGGACGTAAAACCTCAGATGCATTATTAAAGAACATGGCTTTCAACTAGTCCAAGAAGCGGCGTGCAATTAATGCCAAAATAATTATATGTATTTTTCCCGCAAAGAAGACATTCTTTTGCATTTCATTCACCTGTTTACAAAACTTTGTTCTCCGGCCTTCGTTTTCTCTTGAGTTTCTAGGTTTTATTGGGATGCTTGTTAGCAAATCTGGGTGGGCTGGGGTGGGGGCAGGAGTATAACATTCTTCTAAATCAGGGGTAGTCAACCTTGGCTCTTTTATGACTCGTGGATTTCAACTCCCAGAATTCCTGAGCCAGCCATGCTGGCTCAGGAATTCTGGGAGTTGAAGTCCATGAGTCATAAAAGAGCCAAGGTTGACTACCCCTGTTCTAAATGAAGCCTTTGGTTTATGCAAGAAATATAGTGGCTTAAATCAAGCATATTTCGATCAGTTTTCATGACTGTGTGCAGCTTCTTGGTACCACTGCAATTGTCCATTAATTCTTATGAAATGGAACCGATGGTTATTTTCCAAATCTAGTCATACCCCTCAAAGCGGAACGGGGGAACTCAATGCAGCCATCTTGCCCATTTGCCACAGCTAACTTGCTTCAACTGACTCTCCACGACTGATTCGCTACGGGACAACTTGCCACGGTCACCTCGCCGTGGGGACAATTCGCCGTGGAACCATTCCCCAATTCGATTTAATTGTTTAAACTAACTGATTGTTTTAATTTTTGTCATTCGGATTTCGTTTTGTCTCTCCATTGGCCTCCTTCCTTCCGTAATCATATCCCAACATTTCTTCGGTATTAGTGCAACTCTTGTTGAGCGGCAAATTGTCCCGCGACAAATTGGCCAAGATAATTTGTCCCACGGGGACAGCAAGTTGGCCGTGGTGAGTTGTCCTAGACCTCCCCCCTCCTCAAAATGCTGGAAGCTCTCTCCATGATCTTGATCCAGTAACTTAATAGTAAATTGTATGGTCTGTAGGCTACGTGGAAAATATGCATGACCAGGATGAGTTACGTAACAATTGATATGTACAAGCATTTCCTTGTTTATGAGGAACATTATTAAGCCATGAAAACTTTCATTTCTGAAGGGCCAAGCAAAGGGACACAGACCAAGACAGATGTTTAATTTTCTTTTGAAGAGGAGGAAAAAATTGCCGGCATCTTTCTACACTGTATGT